ATTTGTGATTGGCAGCTGTGTCCCCCCCACTTTAAAAAACGCCTGCTGATGAGGATTTTTGTTTTACCAGCTCAGATCTTATACCAGGGGTCGGCAACCTGTTCCCATCAAAGAGCCATTATTACCCGTTTCCCACAGTAATTCTGGACGGACCTTAATAAGCAGTGACTTAAGTGAAGCAGGCAGGTCGCGCTAGAAAATTTAGTTTAAAAAGACGTCATAAATGTGTTCCCCCGTCATTTTTATTTAGAAAATATGAAGTAAAAACTCCCAGTTTAATTTTCATTCATTTGTCATTAATATGTAGTCTACACCCGTGCGTTAAGTGGACCATCTTCCAGTAAACGCAAAGCATCCAGCCCACCTCTCCAAATGCGTAAAATGTGCATCAGCCGCTAGTTAGGCGCGGCGCGCGCACCGTCAGCTGATCAGCCCAGACAAGAGCAGAGCAACTAGAGAAAGAATAGAGGATAATTGTGTCTGGATGTGGATGGAGATTACATTTTACAGCAGCCTGATCATCATTTAAATACGTAAACCATCACCTGTCTTCTAGTCCACGCTATCAGCATTATTTTAATTGGTGTGTGTGTGTGTGTGTGTGTGTGTGTGTGTGTGTGTGTGTGTGTGTGTGTGTGTGTGTGTGTGTGTGTGTGTGTGTGTGTGTGTGTGTGTGTGTGTGTGTGTGTGTGTGTGTGTGTGTGTGTGTGTGTGTGTGTGTGTGTGTGTGTGTGTGTGTGTGTGTGTGTGTGTGTGTGTGTGTGTGTTTTCCACTTCAAACACTGGTCTAACCAACCAGACCAGCGTGTCCAGTAACATATTAATGTTACACTTCATGTAGGCTAGGAACGTTTCACCTGCCGTGGCCCGACCGCTTCTGCTCCACATAAACTTTGTGCGTGATCAAATGTCTCTACAGGTGCTTTCTGAGCTGAAGAGCTATTCTGCCTCAGACTGGATGCGTCATGCGTCTCCATATTAGAGACGGGAACAAGCGCTGTTCAGCCAGAGTTTCATAATTTCATAAAAAGAACATTTTTCCAAGTGACACATCCCTCAGAGAGACCGGGTTTCCAGACTGTTTCAGTGGGAGGAAATCTTATCGCATGCACCGTGGTTCTGCACTGCGCTGCGAACCCCAGATCTTCAGCTCACTGTCCACCGTGGGCGCTCCGAGCCGCGCTGAACACAGTGTCCAGTATAAAGCTCTGATGTTCTGATGGGAATATTTTACCTCCGCGATGTGCGTTAACGATTAAAATGTCAGCTCATCCATGCGCATCAGTGTGCGTCGGGGTAATTCTTTCAAACCAAGCAACATCCTTGAGTTCATCTGTCAAAATAAACAGTCAAATGGAAATATCTGTAACCTGCCATTTAACTGTTTTGCCTTCCTGTGAAGATTGTTGCAAAGAGAAACAATTAAACTTGATTAACCCCAGAGCCACCCAGAGAACCAGAGCGCATGCGGGAAGGTTCCTCCCACTGAAGCGAGTGTTTTCCAAACCCGGTCTCTCAGAGAGACTTGTCACTTAGAAAATGTTCCCTGATGATGAAACTTTGGCTGAATAGCGCTTGTTCCTGTCTCCAATGTGGCGACGCATCCAGGAGCCGTCTGAGGAGAATCCCAGAATCTCACATCCTCTTCAGCTCAGGAAGCGCCGATATGATTACACACAAGCGTGACGCGTCAACCCGGTCTCACAGTGAGACCGGGTTGGACCTGTTCAGGTTTACGCAGACAATCTTTACATTTAGAATTGGCATACAGATGTAAAATTAATGCAGTAAAATATAAAGCATTTTATTTAAATATCAATTCATTATTTTACAAGCACAGAGAGCCGCATCAGATGGATGGAAGAGCCGCATGCGGCTCCAGAGCCGCCGACCCCTGTGCTAGCCTACTTTATTGTCCCCAGCAATTCTGAAAACAAACTGACGCCCTTGCACACACACACACCCTACAGGGGCTGAATCATATGAAGTCCACCTTTGGACCCTAACCACATGATAGTTATTTTCTCAACCTAAGCCAGGGATATCCAACCCTGGTCCTGGAGGGCCGTATTCAGCACATTTTAGTGGTTTCTCTGCTCCAAACCACCTGATTCAGTGGTTGAATCACCTGTGATTCAGCAGCTCGTCAGGTTCTGCAAAAGCCTGTTAATCACCTGCTGATTGAAATCAGGTGTGTTGAAGGAGAGTTCAAACTGAAGTGTGCTGGATACCGGCCCTCCAGGACGCGTCATTTGGAATTCTAGGATGTCCAAGGAAGATCCCGCCGTTCTCGTCTCTGATTGGCTAGAAAGGCTCTACTACGATTGACTATTTAATTTAACAGCTAGCTGGCTATCCTCGCTAAGTGCTGACTGTGGCGGTGTTAGAGATGAGCCACTTCTGCGCAGATTAGATCAGCGGTGATTGGAGCGCAGTGCATGCCGGTTAGATTTGTGTCCCACCTGACGCCGACTTGCTCTGACGTCATGCATACGTAGACAGCGATACCCTCGTGAGATCAAGGCGGCCGCAGATTATAATAAGCATTCTGTCCTGGTTTGCAAAATATTTTGTTTTATGTTTCATAAAAAACTGAAAAATGTAAAATCTGAATTTATAATCTTGTTGCATTTATCCGACTGTTGCAATGACTTCTGTTGGCTCTGAAGCATTCGAGTACATAGGATACACATGTGTGCCTTACCTGGGTATGAACTTTAATACAACTGCCCTGTTCTGCCCAGCTGTGTGCATCAGGTCTGTTTCTTTACCAGAATTATGTAAACTGGTGACAAATAGGCCTAAATCATAACCAGCGTTAACTTCATGTTTTATTAAATGGTTCATGTTTAATCTGATGATGAGAGATGTGCTCTAACTTGTAAACAGCCTCAACCTATAGAGGCAGGGTAGCCTAATAATAGAAGAATAGAATAGAATAGAATAATCCTTTAATAGTCCCACAAGGGGAAATTTGGTTGTGTCAGCAGCAACATCACACATATACAAACAATGCAGGACACAGAACAGAAGCACAGTTATTACCTATTTACATCATGGACAATAGTTACCAGAGCAGAGTACAATACAGTTGTTTATATAGGCGCACACATATTGTGTAAGCATAGCAGGATACTGAAGATGTTAAAATAGTTTTAAAAGTTTAAGATGATTAAAAGAGTGCAGATTGTTTATTTTTTACCCATTCATTAAAAAGTAGACATGTAGCCTTCAATAAATTATTGCATGTATAAGCTGAGAAAAAGTAATGTGTAAGTTATAATTGTAGAAGTTATTACAGCACTGATGCCGACAACTGTTTTGTTTGGGAGCAGTTCTGATTGTACAGTCTAACAGCTGCAGGGAGGAAGGACCTTCGGAAACGCTCCTTCATGCATCTAGGATGCAGCAGTCTGTCACTAAAGGAGCTCTGCAGTTCAGCAACATTTACATGCATGGGGTGGGAGACTCTGTCCACCTGTAATGCAGTAATAAGCTAACCCCAATAGAGCCAACAGATGTGAAGTAGTCTACAGTGTGATAAAACAAAACCAGATTCATCACAAGTTCACATTTGATGATTTTCAGGTTCTTTTATGACAGAAACTGAACCTGGTTTATTGCTGAACAGCAAAGGATGTTTATTATAGCGATGAGTTCACATTTTCTTCAAAAACTCCTCAAGATCTGGCTGTAAACATCAAACCTGCAGCGAGGGAAAACTGTTTCCTCTTACACAAAATAACCAATCGTAGTACAGCCCTTCCAGCCAATCAGAGGCGAGAAAGGCGGGACCTTCCTTGGACAACCTTGAATTCCAAATGAAGCCTCCAGGACCAGAATTGAATAGCCCTGCCAGTTTTGGCTGTTTTCATGCAAGTTCTCAGATTCTCACGGACCTGCGAACACGAAGTGCGTAATAACGTCGTGCACCTTCCTGTGAAACTAGTCCTCCTCTGGAGCCTGCACCCCCTCGAAACAGGCCACCAGTGCCCACTTTAACTGCTTGTTAAATACTTAATAAAGTTAGCTGTGTGTGTGTGTGTGTGTGTGTGTGTGTGTGTGTGTGTGTGTGTGTGTGTGTGTGTGTGTGTGTGTGTGTGTGTGTGTGTGTGTGTGTGTGTGTGTGTGTGTGTGTGTGTGTGTGTGTGTGTGTGTGTGTGTGTGTGTGTGTGTGTGTGTGTTACTCGTTCCCTCCGGCCGGCTGTGACAGTGCGGGGGTGGGGTGGGGGGTGCAGACAACTCTCCTCTCATGTTTTAAAAATGCTAATATAACGTTTCTGCTACGCTAAATAAGGATTTCTCTATAGAACTACTAAAATGTCCGACTGGGGCGGGGCGTGAGCTCTGCTCTGTGGAGGGGGCGGGGTTTGCAGCTCTTCCTCCAGAGACCGAATCAAACCAGCTCGTTTTTAGACTCTCCTCAGAACGGGTAGAGGAGGGTCTGTAGCGCACCAGAGGACCAAGTCAGAGCCAAGAACTGCGTTTCTGGTACATCTGGACCACGACTGAATGATTTAGTCCCCAAACAGAAGAACGTAAAAGCATGATATGTGACCTTTAACTGGTGGCATAATGAAGGGAACTCAGTGCACTTCTGGTTCTGTTGCCCTGGTCTGGAGACCAGCCACCTGCAGTTGTCCAGTTTCTACCAGGACCCCACATGTCCATGTTCACCTGCTGTCAGGTACCTTCTTCCACAAGCAGAGCTGCACTTCCTACTGAAATAGAATAGAATATCCTTTATTGTCACTGTACACACTCGTACAACGACATTTGGAGGCCCCTCCCGGGTGCAAGTTGAAAGAAATACATAACACTACAATAACTAAACTTCAGTCAGGGCGAATCCTTCCTTCATAAATTGTATAAAATTAGACCCGTGCAGCTTGTGTGGTTCCATCAGGGCTACACCTGCAAACACTAGATAAGATAAGAACATGTGCTTTCAAATTAGCACGTTCTTTTGTTGTTAAATGACCACAAACATGTTTTCTGTTGTTTTCTGTCAACAGAAACAGAATCAACACTTTATTTCAGCGGACTTTAATCAATAAATAATTCAGTAAAAGCAACAATTTTTGCCTTCACGTGTTCCACTAAACAATAATTATGACTGTTTAATCATTTTGTCGAATAAAAAGAAAAAGATCTTATGTCTAGGGTCTGGTTTCTACTCGTGTGAGAAGGGTTACAGCCTTACTTAGCAGAACTGGATCAGCTCTTTCATGCTGCATCCCTTCTCACAGCAAATATCAGATATTTTTCCTGCAGATCTTCTGATCCGAGAACTAAGGAGGTGCCAGTGAGGAGCCAAGGAGGAGACGTTGTGTCCACCGGTCTGTGGAGGAACATGGTTTGTATCTGAGTCCAGGTCCACCTCAGCTGAGCCATTCTGACCCCCTGTGTAGAGGTCACAAGTTCACAGTTTAGAGACAACTATTACTCATCCGTGTCAAACTCAGAGAATGTCTTGAGAACTTACACCCAGGGGTGTGTTGATGTTGACCCAGTCCTGGGTCTGGGATGCTTCTCCTCAGTCGAGAGTTACCACAGGTGGAGACGGCCAGACGGATCAGCTCTCGCCCACACATCTTAATCCTGTCCTCTGTGCGAGCCAGCGTGGCTGCAGCCAGCAGCACCACCATCAGGCTGAGCAGACTCTTAGCAGCAGCCATCGTACCTGGATGTGTGAGTTGTCCTCAGGCGCTCAGCAGACACACAGGGAGTGGGTGAGGGATCACAGGTGAGATGTAAAACGGGATGATTCCTGGGAAGAGCTCAGGGGCCTTTATATAGCCGTGTGTAGCCCACTGCAGTGGACTCCACATGCTGACGTCTCACATTGGTCTGGAGACGTATTCAGCCTTGGTGGGAGAAAAGCATGTTCTGATCCGGAGCTGGGTATGGCGCTGAAGGTTGAACGTGACATAAAGATAAGATATTGTTTTGATTCTAATCTACAACTTGTGCTAAAAACATTTTCATGGAAAACTAAAAGGGCAGGCATCCATAACACGTTCAAACGAACAATCTAACCTGGACCCTAGGGCCTCTAAACAAAAACCACGAAGCGCTTCACAAAAACAAAACATTACAACATAAAAATGATTAGAAATATGTTTAAAATGACAAAAAACAAAAATTGTGATTAAAAATGTAACAGACAGAAAATGAGTCAATGGATCCCAGGAAAGGCGGAATTTGTAGAAAGAGCAGAACAAGGAGAGGGTGATGAAGGTCCCACCAAAGCCTGAACAGCTGAGTATAAAGGAGACCACTGAGTCCACTGGTCTCAGGCTCAGGGGGAGAGAGGTCCAGAGTCTGGGGGCCACAGCAGCAGATGATCTGTCACCTTTGACCTTTAGCCTGGTGCTGCACAACCAGTAGGCTTTGGTCACTGGACCTCAGGGACCTGCTGGGGGTGTAGGGACTAAGAAGATCACCAATGTAAGATGGTGCTTGTTCATGTAAGGCCCTATAGACCAGAACCAGGATCTTGAAATGAACCCTGAAGGTGACTGGCAGCCAGTGAAGCTGGAGGAGAAGCGGGGTGATGTGGGTGTGTTTGGAGGACTTGGTCAGAAGCCGAGCACAGGCGTTCTGAACCACCTGTAGACGGTTCAGGGAGGTTCTGCTCAGACACGTGAAAAGAGAGTTACAGTAGTCTAAGCGTGAGGAGATGAAGGTGTGGAGAACTGTCTCAAGTTCAGAGCGGGACAGAATGGGACTCAGCTTAGCAATGTTCCTGAGATGGAAGAAGGAAGAGCCAACAAGAGAACTGACATGAGAATCCAGGGTGAGAGCTGGGTCAATGGTCACACCAAGATTCCTGACAGAAGGTTTGGTGTGGGAAGCAAGCTGACCAAGAGAGTCTCTGACTTTGGGAACCAGCTTGTCTGGGGCACAGATGAGGATCTCAGTCTTATCTTCATTCAGCTGAAGAAAGCTCCCACCATCCAGGCTTTGATAGAGTCTAAGCAGGTGTGTAACAGCTGCAGCTTAGACATCTCATGGGGCTTAAAGGAGATGTACAGTTGGATGTCATCTGCATAAAGATGGTAGGATATTCCTTTGAAGGATCTCAGGATGTGCTGAAGAGGAAGCAGATAGAGGAGGAAGAGCAGAGGCCCCAGCACAGAACCTTGTGGGACACCATGGGTAAGAGAGGTGGTGGAGGACCTAAACTTGGAGACGGCCACAGAAAAGGAGCGCTCAGAGAGATAAGAGGAGAACCACTCCAGAGCAGATCCTGATAGGCCTACCCAGTCTCTCAGCCTCTCCAGTAGCAGGTGATGGTCAACAGTGTCAAAGGCTGCAGTCAGGTCCAGCAGGACCAGAACAGAACAGTCCCCTGCATCACTGTGGGTCAGAAGGTCATTAGAGACCCTAAGAAGAGCTGTTTCAGTAGAATGAGCTCTACGAAAACCTGACTGGAAGCTATCATAGATGTTATGTTCATCAAGAGCAGCTGTGAGTTGTTTAGCCACAACCTTTTCCAAGATCTTGGAGATGAACGGAAGTTTAGAGATGGGTCTGAAGCTGCTATGGAGAGAGGGGTCGAGACTCGGTTTTTTAAGAAGCGGGTGGATTACAGCGTTCTTAAAGTAAGCAGGGACCTGACCAGAGACCAGAGAAGCATTAATTATAGAGAGCACGCTGGGACCGATGGACTGAAAAGCACTTTTAAACAAAGATGAGGGTAAGATGTGGAGGGGGCATGCAGAGGTCTTCATAGAGTTAACTAGTTTGGTTAACTCAGGCAAAGAAACAGGAGCAAAGCTATCTAGGATGATGGGCCTGGTTGGAGTCGGGAGAGGCGGCGATAAGGCTGAAGGAGAGATGCTAGATCTGACCTTATTGACTTTGTCCACAAAGAAAGACAGAAAGTTCTCACAGTCTGCAACAGAGTGGATGGAGGCTGTAGGAGAGGCAGGAGAGACGATGCTGCTGATGGTGTTAAACAGCACCTTGGGGTTCCCTTTGCTCTGGGACACCAGGTTGGAGAAACAGGAAACCCTGGCGTCTCTGACTGCAGAGTTAAAGGATGTCAGAAGATCCTTTAGGTGCAGCAGATGGACGTGGAGATGGGTTTTCTTCCACAAACGCTCAATTTTTCTGCATTGGTGCTTCAGGCTGTCATTAAACCAGGGAGTAGGGTTCACTGCAGGACCTGATCTGGTTCTGACAGGACAGATGTTGTCCAGGATGGAGAGGCAGTGCTCGATGAACTGAGAACAACATCAAAGCCAACCAAGTCTGTACGTTCTGTTTAGACATGAATCACACACACACACACACACACACACACACACACACACACACACACACACACACACGGCTTGACACAGAGTACAGAGGGAGAGGAGATAAAATTCCTCCCCCCTGAATGCCGCTGGAGGTACGACTAGAGAAGGAGATGGAATTGGAGGCGGAGGTGCAGTACCACTTTTTAGGCATCAGAGTCACGTTTAGATGGTTCCCCAAAAGGCGGCGTGAGTCCCCCACGGGGGTCAACCATGCGGAGAAGTGACGAAGTAGTGCGTACGCCAGCCCGAGTGACTGACAGCAGTTGAAGCGTGTAGTGAGGGATCTGACAGAGTCAGGAAGACCAGGAGTACGTCACAGGCTGGAAGCTGAGACCAGAACGTGAAGAGAGCTCACGCCGTACCCTGTCTACCGCATTAACCCCAACCATGGCCGTAACACGCTCCACAGCAGCGGGAGAAAGTGCAAAGGAGATGTTTTCACAGAAGGGAGAAAACTACAACAGACCTGTGTTCATCTACATCCAAGTACTACAGAGACCTCACCAGCGTGGACCATGGAGGTCTGTAAGACGTCCGGTCGGAGGGAAGTTCAGCTTGGTGATGTTTGACGGTGGCAATCCTGATGGAGATGACTGATGAGAAGCACCAGGAGCGACCCAAGTGTGTTAGCCAATGCGAGGAAGACAGGGAGGAAACGCGTCTCCTGCATCCCTGGATCCTGGATCCCGTGAATCTGATCAAACACGGATCGTCCTTCGACGGAGGACAAATGTCAGCTTCACGAGGAGTGGTTAATCCAACAGCTGCTTCCCAGTCCTGTAGCTCCGACGTTGCAGCTGTTCGGTTTTGTGAGCAATTCTTTTAAATGAAAGGCGTAACTCTACTCATCTGTAAATGCTCTATTGTACCTGTAAATAACGTGTACTTGCATTTACCTGCTTCAGCTGACACCAACCCAGAGCTCTCTGGTGTCCACCGTAGGGAGAAACGATTCCTCCTGAGGTCTTCTCCATCGCCGCTGGTTCTGTCTTTAACTGGCGCTGTCAAACGTTGTGTCGGCGAGCCTGAAGGGGAAGTTCCTTCATTACCGTAGAGCATTCAACATTACTAAAACACTTCAGGTTAAAAACACACTGCAGGTACTACAGACTGTGATTGTAAAGTAAAGGATTTAGATAAAGAGTCTTGTGTCTTCTGTGGTATCGTGGTGTCCAGTGATGTACCACAGGATAAGTTAAGGATACTGGTCAAGTTCACAGACATCAACACTTGGCCTGATCCGTATGACGACCGTTAGCCTCCAGTGAAACACAGACCGTGAGCGATGCTACAACAGCAGATGTTCTTCACCTGGTGTGTCGGTGTCACCAAGTTGATTTCCTTCATGCAGTCCAGATCTGGACTTTAAAGGGGACCAAGAAGCTGAACCAATGCTTTCCTTGTTGTTGTTGAACAAAGTTAGCTCGGGTGGTGAAAGTAGCATGCCAAAAGGTCAAAGCCGTGTGTGACCTACTTTTAAATAAATTAGAAAGTTTAGAAATGCCAGAGAAAAACTTATTTCCTGAGAATCTTGTAGAGATGTTCGGGATAGGACGCTAGGTGGCGCCATCGGAACGCTACAGGAGGAGAGGAAGAACAAAGGAAAAAGAGGTCTTGGAGAACTGAACACGTGGCTCCGGTGTCTTCATCTCATCAGTTACAGCAGAGCTCTCAAGACTCGTGCATTTTCACGTTTTACACGCCACACAGATTTAGGCTGCGAGTGATTAGTTCACTGCACTGTGCACCTAACAGCGTTGTTCAGAGCTCAGCCTAAGCCCCGCCCTCTGTGTAGCTGTCAGTCTGGCCTGCAGCCGAAGCTGCAGAACACTCCTCCTTATGAGAGTCAGTGCTAGGACAGGGGTCCTAGCCCTAGCCCTAACCCTAACCCTAACAGGGGTCCTAGCCCTAGTCCTAGCCCTAACCCTAACAGGGGTCCTAGCCCTAGCCCTAACCCTAACCCTAACAGGGGTCCTAGCCCTAACCCTTACTGTGAGACCGGGTTAACGGGTCACCTGCTTGTGTGTATCAGATGTCTCTACAGGAGCTTTCTGAGCTGAAGGGGATGTGAGGTTCTGGACTTTTCCTCAGACAGGCTCATGGACGCGTCGCCACATTGGACAATTATAGGCAACCAATCCAACCATCACATGTTAGAGCAGTGCCAGCAACCCAAGGAGAACGAGCAGGATTAACCAGAACCAGCAAGGCCGCCACCCCCCGCACAACGTTCGAGGGCGAAGCAGATCTCACACGTCAAAGTGCAAACATGAAAGCAGCATTGTGTCTTGTATGTCCCTAAACAGCTACGGTATTTCAAGATGGCGCATGACTGGAGCGTCAACCACCATTTCTGTAAATAAACATGTAAAATTTCAAGCTAACAGGAATATTTGGGACAGACGCTGGTGGGAAATGTTAATGAAAAGGACTGAAGTAAATAATTTGCACACCGGGCCTTTAAAGAG